CTGATTCTTTGGGGTGAATTAGTTCTAGCTGGAGCATCTGGAACACTGGTGAGACACAAAGCCCCCAGAGGGTGTGAATTGGATCTGAAAGGGGGAAAGGCAGAGGGAGATTCTTATCCAGGGAGCGTAGGGAACACGCTTTGTGCTTAGGGTAGAGGCTGTGTGGGATGAAACAGAGTTTGATTTATGTAATTCAACCTTGTCAGACACCACAGCCAGCTCTTTGGAAAAATAAAAAAAAGGAGATCTTTTACTAGTTGGGCCTCTCCCCAGGCGAGAGGCTGATACTATCACATAAAGTACATCTTTAGACCTGGCCAGACATCAGTTGTTCCTGGCCTCAGACAAGTGGGTTATCTTTCAGGGCTGACTCCTCTGTAGTCCAGTGTTTACTTGTTGAGTGCCTACTATGTGCCTTCCATGTTCCCCATTACACAGGATGAGCAATTGGGCATTCAGGCATAGGGCGTTGCACATGGTGAGATCTGAAACATTTGTCAGCAACTGCCTTCATCCCCTGACCATGGCAAGAAAGTGAGGCTGAGCTAAAGAAGCCACACAGGGCTCTGATGCCTGCTTGTGTTCTCTTCTTTACCGTGTTAGGGTACCTTCCTTGGGGGGTTTCACCTCTATTCTTTCCTTCCATGCCTTGGCTCTGCCTTCTTTCGTGGCGGAGTCTTGCTCTGTTGCCCAGGCTGGAGTGCAGTGGCATGATCTCAGTTCACTGCAACTTCTGCCTCCCGGGTTCAAGCGATTCTCCTGTCTCAACCTTCTGAGTAGCTGGGACTACAGGCAGGTGCCACCTTGCCCGGCTAATTTTTGTATTATTAGTAGGGACGGGGTTTCAACATATTGGGCAGGCTACTCTTGAACACCTGACCTCATGATCTGCTTACCTCGGCCTCCCAAAGTGCTGGGATTACAGGCGTGAGCCACCGCGTCCAGCTGGCCTGCCTTCTAAACCGTGGGAATCTGAGGGCTCTAGGGTGAGCTTCCCCTCTCCCCTGTATCCCAGTCCTTACTCTTGGGTCACCCTGTGTATTCTGGGACCCCTCATTCTGTGAGGGGTACCCTAGTTGAGTCTAGGAGAGCAGGCCTTGTTCTGGGGGTCTGCCCTTGTTGAGCTCAGATTGTGCACTGGGTGCTGTGCCAGGTGCCCGTGGGTCAGAGGCCAAGCGCATTCATTCCTGTTTCCCCTTCCTTCTGCCCTTCTCCATACCCTCTTGTGGAAGGACCCACGTTCTCTGGTGTTTTGGTGTCTTTGTGTTCTTCATCCTGTTCGGTGAAGGCTGATTTCCTTCCTCCTCACTGTTTCTCCCACTGGCCTCCCTTCAAGTCCTTTTTCTTTCCTTTTTAGTCAGGTCCTTTTGTTAAACTTTTAGGAAGTATTTATTTATTGTTGTTTGTGATCAGGGCATTCTTTGATTTTCTTGGTTTCCTCATGGAAAAGGGTCTTGTGGGGGCTGCCCTGAGGCAGGAGAAGGCCAAAGGGAGCCTGTATGGTATCTTCTTGTAGCCAGAGAGGGCTCATGGGCCCACGGGTGGTTCCCAGGCCCTACACCTAGCTGACAGCATTCAGTTGTTGGAGCTCTGAGTTGTAATCCTGAAGGTAGTTGTGGATGGCAGACTCCTTAGCTTTGGAGAGCACCTCCGTGGTTTCCAGAAGAACTGCCTGGGCTGGATTAACCTCTGGCTTGGCCACTGGGGTAAGACATTACTTTGGTGGGAAGAGTTGGACAGTGACTGAAGAAAACACCAACTCACGAAGCGTTTTCTTCTAGGCTGTAGGATCATGAGTGATCTTATCTCTGCCTCTGTAATGTCTTGTATTTTCCAATATTTCTACAATTAACATGTATTGCTTTTATGATTAAAATATAAAATATATAAGAAATGGTTTCCGATCTCTAAATGTCACCCAGGGAGCTTGTGCAGTATATGGATTCCTGGTACCCTTCTTTGAAATCCTGATCCGGTGGGTCTGGGAGGGGCCTGGAGACTCTGTACTTATGACAGCATGTCAGCTGGCTTAGTGACACAGTTGGGTTTCAAAACCATTGATCTGGTACAATACCTGCATTTTCCTTATAAGCCAAGAGAGAACTCATGAGCAGGTTGGGGGGAGATCCAACCCTAAAGCCAGGTCCTCTGATTCCTGGTCCCTGGGGATCCATGCATCATAGAGCTTTCCTTACCAATTCATGAGCCTTAAGGACTGTCACACACAGAGGCATGGAAACTAGATTGTTCCCAAGGGCCAGCCCATGTACCCTGCCTCCTGCACCTATGCCTGCCTGGGTCCCCTGCAAGACCTCAGCCTTCCTGTCTGAAAGTACTCTGTGGCCCACAGCTGCTTCTGGGTCCCCCAACACTCCCAGATGATGGAAGTCTGTGCCTTGTTTTCAGAAACCTCAAGTTACCCAGGCAGCAGGTGGCCTCCATTAGTGGAATTTGGGAGAAACTGAGGCAAACAGAGATGGAATTGGCCTTGGCCCCAAATCATAGTATTCTCATCTGCTTTCCTTGGCCATTGAGTTGTTGATTTAGTGAAGGGGAGGATAGAGGGTCTGCTTTGGTATAAAGAAAGGCAGTGGCACTGTCAGCATAGTGATCATGGGAAGGGACTTTGCTCTAGGGCCAGGTGGTCTAGGTTCAGTTCAGTCCCTGTCACTTCTACTAGCTATGTGATAACTAAGTAATGGGCATGAAAATGTGCCTCAAAATCACCTGAGGAATCTTCAGATGCTGGGTCTGTGTTTCTTTTGTTTTTGTTTTTTGAGATGGAGTCTCGCTCTGTGGCCCAGGCTGGAGTGCAGTGGCGCGATCTTGGCTCACTGCAACCTCGGCCTCCCAAGTAGCTGGGATTACAGGCGTCCACCACCACACCCAGCTAATTTTTGTATTTTTAGTAGAGACAGGGTTTCACCATGTTGGCCAGGCTGGTCTCGAACTCCTGACCTTGTGATCCACCCACCTCAGCCTCCCAAAGTGCTGGGATTACAGGGGGTCTGCGTTTCTAGGCAGCTCTCCGATGATGTCGAGGCTGCTAGTCCACGGACCACACTTTGAGAAGCAAGGATGCAGAACACTCAGAACAGAGCCTGGCACCTCCCCAACCCCCACTGCTGCCCCACCCCATGTTACTATTATGGTGATGATTGTTCTTGCCACCAGTCTTCTCAGACAAGCACCTGAGGAGATCTGGAATTCCAGCAGACTGGCCTCTCCAGGGATGAGTCTGCTTCTGGATTCTCCTCCTGTTCCGCAGCATGACCTCTGCACCTGTCCCGAGCAGCAGCTGGGGAGGGGAGGAGAAGGGGTCTTTAGCCCAGCTGCCGCAGGCCCGAGGCTTCACTTCGGGTTTGCAGCTGAGTCCATTTTCACGCTGTTTTACTCTAACCAGATTTTGTTAAGCCGGGTGTGTTTCCTCTTTTTACTCATCTTTGTTTACAAAACACGAGGAAGCCATCCATCTCCCCAGCCCTGGCTGCCAGGCCTCTTCTGTGGCACGCCCGATTTCCCTTTCCCTCCGAGCAAGAGCTGTGCCTCCAGCTTGCCAGGTTGTTTTCCAGGCTCTTCCACTGGGGAAGGAGGAATGCTGTTGCCATGGACGGGGGCATTCTGTGTTCACCTGGGTTGTCAGGCCCCAAGGCCAGCTCCCTGGATGCCTCTCTTCTCTTTGTGGCCTAGGGCAGCATGAAGGGAAAGCCAGCAACCTGCATGCTGCCCCAGAAAGGTCAGGGAGGCTGGACGGAACCTGGAAGCTCTGGAAGTCCAGGAAACCTGGGCCCCCTTTGCAGCTATGCCACTGGCTTCTCTCCTCTTCCCATCTGACCAGGAGGAGTTGCCTGGTGGGGCTGGTGCTGTGATTAAAGACAGTTTAAGAGAGGGCTCCAGCTCCCCCGACACCTCATGTAAACTTGCTTGCTGATGGGGCCACTGAAGTAATCCAAGTCCAGCCTGTACCGGCTCCTTTCTGCACACTAGGTTTTTCTTCTCCTGTCCACTGAGAACCCTGTGGAGAGGCCCCCGCCCAGTCCTCCTGCCCTGGCAGACAAAGAGAGAACAAAGACTGCCTCTTCCAGCACCCCCCAGTTCCCCCCAGGCCTCTCCTGGAAATGGTACCTGTGTGGGCAGGGCACCAGCCCCAATCTGGTGAGCCACTGACCCCTGAACTTCGCCCCTAGCTTCCCAGTCTGACAGTAGGACCTGGGATAACCTCCAGAGCGTAGTATATATTCTTTGTTTTTGTTTTGTTTTCAAGTATGTTCTTGCTTAACGTTTAATTGGCTCCAGTCAGTAGGAGAGCGCTCCAAGAGGGATTATTTATGGCTTACTGTCAAGAGCATCTATAAAAAGGGCAGCACCGAGCTGGAGATGCTGTGGGGGGAGAGCGGGCGGGCGCACAAGAGCGTGCGTGCGTGTGTGTGTGTGTTAGAGAGTGTGTGTGCGTGTTTGCACTGGATGAAATCAGATTTTTGCTGCCTCAGCAGTGTGGTTTAAATTGAAGATTAACCCTTTGACCTTCACAGTGTCAAATCACTTGCAGATGGAGGCCCCCCCTTTCCCCTTGTTCTCTGTTACTTTGGAGTCGGGGGAGAGAGGGGGGCACTTCTTCTCTTTCTGAAGCCAGTTTGTTGTTCATGCAGCTGAGGTTGGAAGGGCTTGGGAGCCAATCTGATTAAAAGCAGCACTTGGCTAAACTCTGGAAAATCCTGCAAGCAGGGGGAAAGCTTAATCCTCTTGTGCATAGTGCATATAGAGCCCAGTCTTTTCTTTTTAATGTTAAAACTGCAATTGTTTTTGGAGAACTCAACTATCTCCTCCACATGGCAGCTTCTCTTTCGCCGCCACCACCTCCCCCCCCGCCCCGTGAGCTGTACTGATAGGATTAAAGTGCCAGCCCTGAGACTTGGAGCTCTGAACTTTTATTGGAAATGAGAGGGAGTCGTCTGAGGTTGTGTTCGGGAGTTATGTTGGTCTTTTTTTTCTCCCTTCAGCACCAGCAGAACCGAAATCGCGTGTGGTGGCAGGTCCTCCTCTTCCTGCACAACCTGGCTTTGAATGGAGAAGAGAACAGGAATGGGGCAGGCCTGAGGTGAGGCTGGGCTGCCCTCTTCACATGGGGCACCAGGAACACCGTCTGGAATAGGAAGGACATCGGGCAAGACTGACACTGTGTCTTGTGGACTTGTTTTTTTGTTGTTTTGCATTTTTATTTTTTAAATTTCTCTCTGTGTGTACATAGAACATACCCAAGTGGGATCTTCTTTCTCTGTCAGGCCCTTGACTGGGAATGGGGGCCTTTGTCAAACACTGTTGGAGAGACTGATGTGTCTGTGACGGTCGGAATTCCCAAGGGCCCTGACAAGTAGATTCTTCGACCGGAGAATCTACCAGTTGTCGAACATGACCCATTAGTGGTGTTCTCTGGGGAGTGGACTGTGGTTTTTCCAGAGGAACTCAGTTAAGAAATTGAGTGGATCAGAATCCTAGTTCCACCAAACCCACAGGCCTTCCACTATGGATGGGGGCCACGATTCTGACGGTCATACCGCTTTAACCCACCGTGGCCTCGGCCAGGGGCTTTCCAGTTGAGGATGGCAGCTTCCCTAGGCCGGCCGGCCAGCTCCACATCTGTCTGGGTTCTCACTTGCCCCAGCCAATGCCTGCCCTAAGGGCTCAAGGATTTCTACCTGACTCCTGTCACTTCCAGCAGGCCTCAGGGAGGGTTGGGTTTCTCTAAGGACCCCTCAAACATGTCACAAAATGAACCAAACTTTTGGCTAGGCCTCAAATGTGACTTAGTCCCACTTGGAGACCCTGGGATTAGTCCTGAGGTGCAAAGCCGCTGCCACCACTGGTGGCCTGGGACCAGCTGGGCAGCATGTGCCTCTGTGAGCTCTTCTTTCAAAAGACCCTGCCGACAGATTGCATTCGACCCCCAGTATCAGCACGGTGGGACATCCGGGGGCAGGTTTGCAGTGGGGCTGGAAAATGTGGTGGCCACCCCACCTTAAGAGTCAGCGCTAGAGGACCCCAGACCCCTTGGTTTCCTTGGAAACAACATACCTCTTCCCCCTCGTCCCTATTCCTTTTTCACACCTAGTGGGATACAGAAGAAGCCAGGACAGTGGCTTTGCCAGCTGAAAAGTGACTTTTAGAGTAACAGATAAATGATTAGAGTGGGGAACCGTCAAAGCTGGGTGCACACTTCCTGTCTTCCTCCAGCTTCCAGCCAGGCCAGAAGGGCATGCTCTGGAACCCAGCAGGATCACGGCTGCCTCTGCATGTCTTCCCTTCCCTCCCTGCTGCAGCACTCATGGAGAGGATCTAAAGCAGCTGGTGTGGCAGCTCCAATAGCAGACACAGGGAATCTGTTAACCAGACGCTAGCAAATAAATTATAACCTTTGCATATGTGAGAAAAGACAACATTGGTGCTAACAGTAAAGTAAGGCCCAAAGAAAAGACGGCTTCCCTGGACAGAGAAGACTCCAGGGCCATCCAAGGAAATTGGAGGAGTCCAGAGTAGACTCTGAAACCTGAACAAGCCCAGCCTCTTCTAGTTTTGAAGAGAGGAGGTCTTCAGTACTATTGAAGGAGACGTTGATCTTCCAGATGTACAGTTGTGCAGGTTGTTCACTGCACAATGGCACCTGCGGAGAGCTAATGAAGGCTGGAATTCAGCCAGCATTCTGCTCACTAAGCTTTGTGCCCTGGTGTGGGGCTACCTCTCCAGAGAAGAAGGGGTGCCTTACCTAATTTGCACAAAGGTGCTGTATGGGCTTACAGCACCCTGGAGGAGAAGGGCTTCAAACTGTGCGTGTAAGCCTTTGTTCTGTTCTGCTCAGATATTCTGGAGATATTACCTCTTCTTGGTCAGAATTCTGTTCTCAGGGTGTGTACCATGATTTGTCTGCTAAGAAGACGGATTCCTGCTACGCAGAGAAGGAGCCAGGGACCAGCGTGAAGACTGGCTCTGGGACACACTGACCATTGTGAAATTCAGCCTTCCCTGTGGGTCTCCCTCCTATTTCATGATGTGTATGGGACATATGCTGATCTCCTTTCCCTGGATCAAGGTGGTGACAGGCAGGCTGCTGCTGTATGTTTCAGCGGCACACACCAAAACACCGGGATTATTTAGGCTAGCCACTGTTCACCCCTCTCGGCAGACTCTCCACCTGAGCTTGGTGAGAGAGAAAATGATTTAGATCATGGTGCTGAGGCAAGGCCATCAGCTTGGGAGATCTTGCCGGGCCCAGGCTGGATGCCCTGTGGCCTGAAGTTGGAGCCCAGACATTGACAAACCCACCTGAACATCAAGCCTGGGCAGGTGGAAGGTGGTCTGACTGCCCTGTCTCCATCTTACACAGTCAGGAACTCACTCATTGTCTTAAGTGAGCCAGGGCAAAATTTACACCCCTCACATTTCTCTCTCCTTCCTCCTCCCCTAAAAAAAACCCAGGAGGTAGCTGGCAGGGTAGCTGGCAGGAAGGAGAAAGATTCTTTCTGGCTGGCTGTCTTTAATTGGCTTAGTGATCTAGATTGGCCCCTTCCTCCTCTGCCTGGTGAGTTGGCCTAAACATTCCTCAAGTCTAGCCTCAGGAGACCTGCCCCTCCCCCTGGCCTCCACCCTCTCAGACTCCATCCCCCACCCCCGGGAGCCTGGCTGTCTGTAGTGAGGGGTGGAGAATCAGATTTAGAAGGAGGGAGAGTCTGACCTGGGTCCTGACCTGTAACCAGCTGAAGACGGTAGAGCCTTTGTGGCTTGCTGAGGGTGGGGGTTGGGAGAGGGACTGGAAACCTCCTTCCTCTGGAAGAAATGCCTGGGAGGAAGGGAAGCCTGATATTCAGGGTCAAAACAGTTCTTCTAATTCAGAACCCCAAAGCAGGGGTTTCTAGAAGTTGGTCGACAGATCTGGTGGAGGGAACTCCCCAGGCCAGACGTCGGGCTCCCGCAGTGAGGGTGGAGGACTCGGCCTGACCTCTGCCTGGCCTCTTTCAAAGTCTGGGCCAGTGGAGGGCTGCCCCCGCTCCCCCCACCAGGCAGCCTTCTCTTGCTCAATCCGAGGTGGAAAAAGATCACCTCCCAGTGACCTCCCCAGCCCCTGGGGGAGTAAGTCTATGTCCAAAGCTTTGTGGCAGGCTTGTTTCAAGGGCCCAGAGGGGCCCAGGTGACCTGTCTCACTGCCTCTGGCAGCCTAGCCCCATGCAGGAGGCTCCCACCTGGGGGTTGTTTGGGACAGTCCAGCCAGGGCCTCCCAAGAAGAGTGCTATGGAGCCACTGTGACTGTCCTGGACAGCAAGGAGCATGCTACCCCACTGAGCACTTGTCTTCTTTTTGAGGGACTTGGTGGGCAGGTGGGGTAGGGAGAAGGGAAGTGGCAGATGCAGGAAGACTTTGGCGACTGTGGCTCTTGAGGGTTTCTGCAAATCAGTGCTGGTCTGGACTAGAGACAGCTCTGTGTGAAGGCAAGGACTCTTGGAAGTGGGCCATACTGGCCTGATACCCTAGCAGGAAGGGGCTCACCTGTCACCCTTAAGCAGACTGAGGGCTGGTAGGGACTTTGAGTCTTGAGGGAATAGCAGAGAAAGCTGAACTCATAGGTGCCCAGCCAGCCTCCCAGCTGAAGGTGTTCAGAACCCCGTGTAGGCTCCCAGCCCTACACTGCCCCTCTCTCTGCAGGTGGCCAGCGCCCCTCCCTGCTCTGGGTGCATTGCCCAGCCTTCCACCCCATCCCTGGATCCACAGGGGCTGTCACGGGGAAACCCAGTGAGAATGTAGCAGTTCATATATCCCCAGGGCAGCTGCCCTGGGGTCTGGGCACTCTGCCTCTGGGAGAGGAAGAAGAAAGGGGCCCCATTTTTTAAAAACTGTACAGAGCCTTTGGCTTTATGTGTTTATGTTCTTCACATGCATATATGTGTATGTGTGTATATCTTCCCCCCATCAATTGGTACAATTTTTAATAAAATCATTTAAAGCAAATCAGGTCTTTTATTTTTCAAGGTGTGGTAAAAATGCAGGGAGATCAGTTAGGAGTTGAAAGGCTTCTGGCTTTCTCAGATGCCAGCCTGAGTGACCTGGAGGCTCTCAGCTTTTGTCATGACTTCCTTTCCTCTCCTGGAGTTGAGAAGAGTGATTCTGACCACACGGTAGGCAGCACAGCAGAGGCCCTGTGATGGGGGAAAGATGCAGGCTTTGGACCCGGTTCCCGCCTCCTCCAGCTGAATGAGCCTGGGCAAATTATGTAACCTTTCTGAGCCTTCAGTTCTTCCACGTGTGAAATAGAACTGTGCCTGCCTTGCAGGATTAAAGGGAATGTGTCAAAAGGGCCTGGCTGCCGCTGGGACTCAGTGATGGAAAGGACCCCAGCAGCCCCTCCTGCACGCACTCCCCTACCCCTCCATTCTATCAGGGTAGCCTCTCAGGAGGCAAGTTAGTTGTAGGGGGACTTCCTGGCTTGCATTTCTTTGTGGATTAACAATGTGTCTGATTCAAAGTGGTGATTTAAAGCTCTTGACAGAGTTCTGAAAATCCTTGGGAAAAACTGCTCCTGATCCTATCAGCAGTAAGTTGTGAACTGAGGGGCCAACCCGCCCTGCATCTGTGGGGCTCTCCTTGATTTAGGAAGTTGTCAGCTCTCAGACCTAGCCTTGGCCTCCAGTTCCTACCCTTGCAGAGGGCTGGAGCTTGATGTGACATTGGATCTTTTGTCCAGCCTCTCTGTCTTATGGGTGAGTAAACTGAGTCCCAGAAAGGGGGTATAATTTTCTATTTGGGCTCTTGAAATAGCTGAGTCAGTCTTGAGGGGGGCTCACCCCATCCATCTGTGTTTCCATTTGGGAATTGCACTCTCATGCCCAGATCTTCAAGTAAGCCAAAATTTATCTATTTTTAATGCCAAATAACTGCCTCTTCTCCTGTAAAGTATGGCATTTCCAACCACTCTATATTTGGACAGGGAGGTTTATTTTTACTGGAGTGTGGTATAAGTGGGGCCTGGTGCCATGTCCGGATGTTATTCTATGTTTCACTTGCTGGGTTGTAGTTGAGTCCATTAAGTAGTTCCTATGAGGTTCACAGGGGATTAGTAGGTGGCTGGTGATAGTGATGTCTTTCACGTCGTCTAGGCCTGCCTTGGGTAAGGCTGCACTTAGTTGCCCAGGCTGGAAATCTGAGAGCTTACTTTTGTTCCCCTGTTCCCTCCTTTCTCTCTCTGAGCCCTCCAGAGGAAGAACAGAGACTTTAAAGGCACAGCTGCCCAAGTTTGAACCCAGACTGTGCTGCTCACCAGCTACATGGCATTGGCAGGCCACGTAATCTTTCTGCGTCTCAGTTTCCTCATCTATAAAATGAGACAGTAGTACCTACCCATAAGGTTGTTATGAGAATTAAATGTGTAAATATGTGTAAGGTGCTTAGAAGAGTGCTTAGTATGTATTAAGTTTTCAATTCATGTTAGCTATTAACATTAATGATATTATTATTTGTAGGCAGTTAGTCAGTAAGCTCTGACCATTCTTACTTGGAAATATCTCTCGCAGCTCATCTTCCTTCTGTCTCTGCTGCACTGTCGTAATGTAAGTCCTTTTGCCTGAACGTCTGTGGGGCGTCAACTATTCTCTCATCAGCCTTGCCCCTTCCACAGCAGGGTCTTCTGTGCTACCAGGGAAACTTCCTAAATGGCAGACTCAGTCCCATCGCTCCCCCACTGGAAAACTTGCCCTACTGGATCATTCCTTAGCCTGCCTCTCCAGATATCTCCTTTATGTTAGTATTCTGTACTTGTATTCTGCAAAACAAATTACCCCTACATTTAGCAGTTTAAAACAACAAAAATGGCTGGGCACCGTGGCCCACGCCTGTTAATCCCAGCATTTTGGGAGGCCAAGGTGGGTGGATCACTGGAGCTCAGGGGTTTGAGACCAGACTAGACAATATAGTGAAACCCCATTTCTGCTAAAAATATACCAAATTAGCCAGGCGTGGTGGCAGGCACCTATAATCCCAGCTGTTTGGAAGGCTGAGGCAGGAGAATTGCTTGAACCTGGGAGGCGGAGCTTGCAGTGAGCCGAGATCACGCCATTGTACTCCAGCTCGGGCAACAGTGCCAGACTCCATCTCAAACAAAACCAAACAAAATTTAAAAAGCCATTTATTATCTCACAGTTTCCGTGGGTCAGGAGTTTGGGAGTGGCAGCCCAAGGTGGCTTCATAATGAGGTGCTGGTATTAAGGTGGAGATTCCTGAAACTGCCATTTAATTTTCATGCAGTCCACCATAGGAGCTCAGCTGAGAGGTGGGGAGTGGGAGGAGCACACACTGATATGTTGATGTGTGGTGATGCAGTGCAGCAGGCGGGCAGGGACATGGGGTCTGGAGGGAGTGTGAGGCGCGAGTACGCACGGCGACCCTTCCTGGTCTCTTCTCACGGCAGCATCTCACCACACTGAAGATAAGTTTCCCTGGTCCAATGCAGCCCTGAATGCCATCCATGTTTTCCACTGCCGCTCAGCTGAGGCAACAGAACTCTCTTCCCCTGAAGGAAAAGCTGACTGGCTGGGATGTCCTGTGGAGTGATTGTGTCTGCTTGTTGTGCTTCATAGGCATTTTAAAGGATTTTCAAGGGAAAGTTTCACTTTATGTGATTTGGCTTTATAGGAGGTCTTGGAACTAGTTAGTCCCCGTGTACAGTGAGACTCCTTTGGACCCCTAAACCCAACCATGCTGTCCTTAACGCCCTGCTTCCTAGGAGATGCTCCTTTCCCCCTAACTGGGAAGGCTTAGTGTGAAGTTGGAATTGGAATTGGAATTGTCCTAAAGGGCGGATGAAAGTAACTGATGTAAGTGATGTCCTGTCCGGCCACTGCCTTTGCTACCATTCACATGTGCTCTGGCTCCATGCTACTTTGCGGGAGGTGGGGGGAACTTTGCCAACCCTGCCCCTGAGAAGATGAAGTCCACTGGATGAGTCACTGGCACTGACAGTCCCTCACCCAGAGCAAGGTGCCACCCTAAGCCTAGTGCAAAGATTGGAAAGAAATAAGCTACATGGTCCCCACCCTCAAAATTATGCCCTACAAGAAATCCGGGTGGGGTGGAAAAGTGAAAAATACACGGAATGGGGATTAAGTAGACTGGGTTTTCAGCTGACTATCATTAACTGACTGAATGACTTTGGGCAAGGATGTGACTTCACCTCACTGGTCCTTGGGGTCCTTGGGGTCTTTATCTATCAATGATTCAGGACCAGACTGCATTTCTGTGACCTACCCAGCATTTTATTCAGCAGTTTTGTTTGTTTTTTGAGATGGAGTCTTGCATTGTTCAGGCTGGAGTGCAGTGGCACAATCTTGGCTCACTGCAGCCTCCGCCTCCCGGGTTCAAGCAATTCTCCTGCCTCAACCTCCGAGTAGCTGGGATTATAGGCCACCACCATGCCTGGCTAATTTTTTGTATTTTTAGTAGAGATGGGGTTTTATCATACTGGTCAGGCTGGTCTCGAACTCCTGACCTTGGGTGATCCACCCGCCTTGGCCTCCCAAAGTGCTGGAATTATGGACGTGAGCCACTGTGCCCAGCCTCGGCAGTTTTTTGTTGTTGTTGGTTTTCTTCTGGTCAGGTCTTGAACTCTTTTGGGATTCTGATGAATTAAGATAGGGATCCTCTCCTCGGGAAAAGACACATGACATGTACAGATTCAATAATTTTTGCATAAGATTTCAGGGAAATTATTGAGTCTCTGAACCTGTCATTTGGTCCCCAGGCTTAAGGATTATGGTTTTTGTAAAGGAAAAAGCAAAAGAACAAGTACTGCAAAAACTTAGAAACCAAAGCAGGCTTCACTGCACTCCTGACTTTCCGCATACCCCAGGCAGTTACTGCTGCCGCCTGTACATTCTGCCCTGTGTACACGGTGATGGAGGATAGTGCAATCCCTGGAGACGTGTGTTTATTGCATTGCATTCTTGATTTTAGAGATGTACACTTCCTGTCAGCACATTCAGAGACTGAGGCTATGAAAACGGTCCTGTCCTTTTGGAGGCCACAACTTCAGCCCAGAGAGGGGATTGTAGCCACAATTGTCTTTGCAACCCTTGTATCTTATCTAGCTGGAAGAGGGGCAATGAACCTGGGGTGCTTTTCCATGAGCTCAGAAAGGGGCTTTGGAGGAGGTTCATGCGAAATGAGCCGGTGGGGAGTGGTCAGCCATTGGAGGGATAGGAAAACATGGCCTGTGGCTGTGGAAGACCCGGAAGCAGACAGGGACAAATGCCTGGGAGTTCTGGGCAATTCTGATAAAAGCTGCTTGTTTTGCACCTGAGTGAGCCCAGGGTTCTGCCCCGTGATTCTATCTTTGAAGTGGAGAGGGTTCAGTGCCTGGTGGCAAGCTCATTTCTAACACACCATTACATTTGCCCAGGGCCCTTGAGCCCAATTTCATAGGTACTGAACACACACACGCGCACACACACACACGTACACACACACGTGCACACACACACACGTACACACACACGTGCACACACACACACACATGCACACTCTTGAGAGTGCTGGCTACTATTCTAAAAAGCAACCACACACACAAAAAAATCCATCAGCGCCCCAGTCTGGTAGATCAAAGGCTGGGGTCATGAGCCTCCTGCCTGAGCACCAGGGCTTAGTACTGCCTCAATATTCTGCAGTTTATGGCCATTCTAGACCCATAATTGCCATGATTCCTCCGTGAAATGTAGAGAATAACTGATGACATTTCACGGACTGGGGAAACCGAAATCCACCTGTAAGACTGGATTTTATACCATTAAGGACCAGCAAATTTTCCTTTTATCTCTTACCACCAGCAGTCACCATTTCTTGACCACCAGTGGACATTATTGTGTGAGTGGCTTTTTTACATGTCTGGATGGACTGAAGGCCCCTGGTGGGCAGGCACGGATCTGCCTCATTTACCACTGTAGCCCCGCTACCCAGCAAAGAAG